AATAAGTAATTATCAATGATTCTTAGTATGATATTTCTATAAGGGATATTTCTAAAATATTGCTAAAGTAATATTGCAAATTAATAATACTGCAATATCTCTGCAACATTGCACTACAATATGTAATCTTGCAACGCTGTAGCAATGTTGCTGCAAGCTTCTGTGCTGTATGGGTAAGGTAAATGATTCAAGAACCAGAGGTTTCATGTTCGAATATGGCAATGGTAAGCAAATTTTCGAAGCAAAATTTGAATTAAGTAACGTGTGAAACAATATAAATGTGTGTGTGAAAACTAAGTACATATATATTTAAAAAATTTAAGAAAAGTTCAGAAAAGAGAAAAAAGTATACAAATGTATATATTTTAATAAATATTTTTATAATATTTATGATAAATATTTATGATCTATTAAAGCTAAAGTCATAAAAATATTTATGAAATATTTTGGTTAATATTTATATAATATTAAAATAAATTTTATAAATATTTTATAAATATTTTATATATATTTTGTGCTGTCTGGGTATCTCATTATTTTTAACGTTTTTAAAAATGCTTTTTCAAATGTCTTTTAAATATTCTTTTGGTGGTTAGGAACATTCAATATTCAAAATTACAAACATTCTATTTTCGTTCTAAGAACGAAAAATTTTAGTCCGGTGGATCCTTAATTCGGATGTCTTTTGAACATCCATAAAAATAACAACGGATGTTTTTAAAATATCCTAAAAACGTTTGTGGATTTGAAATGGATGTTTTAAATACAACAACATCCAGTACATGTACGTTTTTAATACGTTTTTAAAACGTCTTTGTGCTATCTTTGTCTGGGAAAAGTTGGATGTATTTTAATTATTTCAGTTAAAAGAGAACTCATTAAACATCAATAAACATTAACGTTATTAATATTATGATTTTCCAATTAACTGTGTAAGTGATATACCCTTATAGAAATATCATACTAAGAATCATTGATAATTACTTATTTTCAGTATTAAAAATACTGGATAATAAGTAATTATCAAT